TCAGTAAGTCCAGAGCTCTTCAGTTTTAAAGAAAAACCCCTACTAGGGAGGTGATCTGTCCTTAAAGGTACTTGAGACTGTCCACAGTGGAAGCCATCACCTGATCAAGCTTGTCCTGGAAGTCTCTGGCTAGATGGTCTGTTTGGACATGGCCTGCTCCAGCAGCTCCCATGGCACCCAGTAAGACAGTGAGATGCAGTCTGATGAGCAGAGGCATGAAGATCCTTCCTTTCTTTTGGTCTCTTTCCAGGTGTAAAGTGAGTTCTTCAGGCTCATAGAGATGAACATGGGGGACAATCATTACAGAGGTGAAGAAACCTTGAAAATGGGGGTTAATGCAGGAACCAATAGTGTTATTGAAGCACAGAAAAGAAGGGGGATCAGTACATATTGGCTTGGTGACAGTGATGTTATGCGAACATGTAGGGTGGGATTTTAAGGAGAGCCCTACAAGATAAAAAGAAAGAAATCTAAGAAAGGAATGTCTTGTGAGTTTCATGTGGATAAGGGTCCAATGTTTCATGAAGCAGCTGTTAATGGGAGCAGCTGCAAATATCATCCAGGAGAGGAAAGTATAGAAGAAACACTGAAAAACATTGGGGAATGTGGCTACAGGAAGGTGGTCAGCTGGATACTGAATATATTGTAACCAGGAAAGTGTAGCTTGGAACTCCTTATGAGTTTTGTTCTCCTGCTGAAGAGAATGTTAACATGGGTAAAGACCAATTTGGAGACAGGGACAACCTGGCAAGAGACATGGGGTCGGCTATGAGGTATATAGCATACTATTAGGGTAGAACTTACACATGACTCCATTCACCATCATTCATCCCAGGGATTACTGATGGAAAGCTGAAAATGTATTTTAAGGTTGTCCAGCATGGTGATACCGGAACTGGTGGATTCAATTTGTCATCCCCAACGTATTCAACCTCTATATATGGAGGCCTCCTAGAGGCAGTTGCATGTAGTCACCTCTGTTTCCGAAGGAAAGCACAGGAAGGGCTGGAGATAGTGGAGATGGAAGTGGGGTATAGAGGAATCTCAATCCAGATTCAGCATCCTTCAAGTGAGCAATCTTAGATTTCTTTCTTCATGTGTGCAGCCACAATTTTCAAGAGGTCTTTCCTGGTCAAATATAATTTTTATTAACTTTGAAGGACTCTATAGACGAAAACCTCTTCCCCAACACAACATCCTTAGAGGTTATAAGCTGATTTAATTAAGCAGTCTTTTCTAAAATGTTGTGCTTTTCAGTAGTTGTGTTGCCTGTCTTATTTAAATTTTTGAGGTCAATAAAACATTATTTATTCCACCTGCTAAGAGCTCTAAGAAAGGAAATGCCATGATAACCTATGTGACCTGTGTAAAATAGTCTTACATAAATTATCGTATCTCTACTAAATAATAAAAATAAAATAAGTGAAGGAAAAACATATCTCTGATTTTATTTATGTACCAATTTCATATCAAAATAACACTTTAGATATAATGTGTTTTAATTAAATAGCACTATCTAAGAATACAGACATAAATTAGTTATCAAGTCCTGATAGGATAGATCCTAATTGGAAATACCTGGAAATCCAGAATCCTGGTAGAGTCATGAGCAGAGCTAGTCTGAGAATTGATTTGACTTGTTTTCTGCCTTTGGCTGAGAGGAGGGAACCAAGGGGTTATGTGGTATCTCTTTTGATTTCTTGCTGATTTCTTAAGAGTACACCTACTCCAGTAAGAGGAAAAAGAAGTAGAGGATCCCTCTGTGCTTTGCGGGTAGATGGCATAAAAAATGTGAATTGGCATGTAAGGGCTATGTCTTTTGGGACATACGCCCAGTGGACAAAGGCAAAAGGCACAAAGAAGGTCACTGACCTGGTGGTTCATCTACCTTTATAACTGAGACCTGTGTAACACAGTGTTACTGGAGGAAGAGAGCAGATGTTGTTGATAGCCCACACAGTTGTTTGGTGCATTTCTTTATAGGACAAGTTAGCAGAGCCTATATTTTTTATTTTTTTTAATGTTATGAACTGTTTCCTTTGTTAAAGAAAGAAAGGAGGAAAAGACAGATTGCCTTACCTCAGAGTGTTTAGGCTTAAGGCTCTTTGGAGTGACACCGAAGTCTGAGGGATACACTTTGGTCTGTTGCCAAAGACAGGGAAGGGGACACACTCAACCTTCCTTGTTCTAATAGGAAGTCCTGTTGTAACACATGGTCTCCAACTGTCTGTCCAAAGACCAGGATGTACTTCTTCCTTTCAGGTAGTCCAGACACTAGTGTGTACTGTTGCTGGACTCAAATGAATGAAGGTTAGCTGAGGTATGTGTGGCAGTTCTACAGGACCCCAAATTAGCAGTGTGTTGGTAGGGAGATACAGCTCTTCCAGAGTTACAGCCCTTTCAGCAACATAACTCTTTCAGTAATATAGCAACACAGTTCTCCCAGTGATTTCTTTACTAGGGGGAATAAGAGCTATAAACCTTGGGGAAGTGGATATGGGTTTTTAGGTGAGTGAACATCATTGGCTATAGTTAAGGTGCTGGGAATGCTTCATTTGCATGGAGAAAAATTCCAGATGCTAGGCTACATACTTGACTACCTCCAGAATTGCAATTGAGGGTCACAGGAATACATGTGTCAGGGCATGCAGGCACAGAACAAGAAAAGAATGATCCTTACACGTGCCAGTCTTAAGATTAAAATTTTCAGAGTTTGGACATATCTTGTCTTCAGTCTAGTGCCATGCCATTTTCCCTGGTCGCACAGTCCATGTTCCCCACAGTATAGAAATGAACAGAGGTGTATAGACTTTAGGTTGGGCATCCACTTATTTGAATGGCTACATTAACCTATCTGTGTGACATTTTAAATTGCAAGTTCCCACAATACAGTATTTTTATGAAAATAAAAGGAATGTTATCATATGCTCATTACTTAAAATTAAATTATATTTTGTAAATATTTTTATAGATATTTGCAAATAATTGGTGAGTTGAATACATAAGAAACTATTAAAAGTTTTTACAAATATGATCTATAATATTCTATAATGAAACCAGCTGATAAGCCATCTTTAATTCACTGAAATCTAGTAAATGACAACTCTACATAATAGAAAAGATAGCTTCTCCAATGTCATTTAGCATGCAATACCTCTTTCCATATAGAAGCATAGGAGATGAAATGGCCGCTTATTTTTGTCTTGGAGAAATAGAGAGAATGCTTATTAACTTCTGTTGTATGAATCACATTCTGGATAGTACTTATGACAAAAAGAAATATTCATTATTATAAATGTTCTTTATTAAGAATTAACACTTGAGCCAGTACAGTGGCCACTCCTGTAATCCCAGCATTCAGGGAGGCAAAGAAAGTCAGATTTCTATGAGTTCAAGGCTAGCCTGGTCTACAAAGTGAGTCCAAGATAGCCAAGGCTACCAGAGAAACCATGTCTAGAAAAAAGAAATTAAAAAAATTAACATTTGCAAGAATCACTTTGATTTTGTATCCAACTGCATTGATATTCACTTCAGGTTACTCTAATATCATAGTCTTGAAAACCCTGTATTAAGAAAATTTGTGATGTCACATTTGATTTATTTTTTAAAGATTTATCTTATTTTAATTATGTGTATGTATATGTGTGTAGGTATACGCACATGGGAGTGCATGTGCCGTAGGGTTCCAGAAAAAGGTCTCAGATTCCCTGGAGCTGGAGTTACAGACAGCTGTGACCTGCTGAAATTAGTGCTTGAAATCAAATTCAGTTCCAATGTAAGAGTAGTACATACTTTTAACCACTGAGCCATCTCTCCAGCTTCTTAAAAACTTTCAATAAATGAAAATATATAACAAGAATAGTACAAGAATAGAAAACACGTTGATACAATTAGTAACCTATTGGATGAATTTTCAAAGGACAAAAGTTATACTGAGTAGCTTCCATGAATAAACATTGCGGTTTAGGGATAAGATTGTTCATTTGGCATCAGTGTTTGTGATATTTAAAGGTATAAGCCTATATTGTAGAAGCCTATATTGAAGACTGTAGAGAGAAAAATGGACCCTGATTTTGACACAGCAGTCAGTAATACCTTGTTTTGTGTAAAATTCTAGTAGGGGAAGTGGTCCTAGGAAAGGAAATTAAGTTAGACCAATCTTAATGATCAATTTAATTAAAAACATACTGGTTCAGTAATCAGAAGGGAGGTATTGCCTTTTGCTTTAACACGGAAGAATCTCAGCAAAGTTATACTCAAGCATTAAGGTTCAAGTGTTTCTGTAGGCTATACTATTTTCATAAGATTTCCATTCCATATAAGGCAAGTATACAGATTAAGTTTCTTTTTTTCTTTGCCTGGGTGTGATGGTAAAAATGAGAGCTGTCTGCAAGTGAGCTCCAGTGAACTATGTGTGGTGATAGAAATCTGGTTAAGCTGAGTTGTACTGAACTCTAAGCATACTAAAACAAAGCATTTAATTGTACACATGAAATGTGTGAATTTTTGTTATCAGTTGATAAAACTTTTTTAAAGAAAAACACAAATCCTAGAAATGCATTACCTTCTTAGAGACTTTTTTTTTTTTAGGATTATAGGTGCTCAACAGCGTTGATTGGGATAATGGTAAAAAAATTATTCTGAGTTAGAAAAATAAAGAATATTTGTAGCCAATATAAATAAAGAGGTCTTTACTTTAGAAAACAGTGGTGGCTGTTTTCTCATAATCCTTATTATCTGAGTTATTCATATACTCACAGAATAACAAAATAGATTAATAGATAAATTTTGAACTTTTAAAATAAAACTTTAATAGCTATAACAATATAATTTTTATTATCTTGAGTCTATAAATTGAGTCAGAAAGGAAGGACATCCTTAAAGTGTTAATTCTTCCCATACAGTAATATGCAAGAAGGCAGCTACAGGAAGCATTTGTGGCTTTGCTGTTGACATTTTATCTGCAGTACATCTGGATTGAACCTACTCATATATTAACAATGACTTCCAAAATAAATTCTACTCTACACCAAAACAGATCTGTTCAAAACGAAAATCATGTTATCAGTCCAAATAATGTGTTTGATATGTTCACATATGAAGATGGAGTCAGTGAACACCCAGAGGAGACAAGTTGTTTGGAAAATCCTGAGGAAACTATAGGACCATCAAGCACCAATATTCCTCGAGCCGAGGGAGTTTCAACCCTCACTGAGATTTTTCGTATACTATTAGAGGAAGAAAATTATTTGATTCAATTTGATGAAGGTACATTAGCAAAATTCTATGCATATATCATGGAAAACACTGGTGTCAACTTAGAATCATCTTTTGTCAAAGACCAAGGTCTCTATATAACAGCATTTGGCAATCCAGAAGCTGTCATAAAAGCTGAGAATGAAATTTTTAAATGGTGTCGAGAACAAGATTTACCTTTAATTCTCATATCCAAACAAGCACGTTGCTTTTTTCTAGACCAGACTGGAGATAAAGTACAAGATTTGGAACAAGAAACTTATGTAAATACTGAGGTCCTAAGTCTACATAATCAGAGCAACTGTATAAATAGTGTTGATGCAAATCAGACAGAGATGAAGTCTTCAGATGGAAGCCTACGTACATCTGCCAAAAACAGCAAGGGTGATATCCAGACTTTAGAAATGAAGAAAACATCTAGTCCCCTGTCTGCTGAACCATACCTTCATGTAAGTGACATGATTTTCCAGAAAACAGAGGGACATGTCCCTTTTCCACTCTCTAGTGCCAGTGAGAGAGATACAGATATTAATGAAAGACAACTGCCTGTGAATGAGACCAATTACTGGGAAAATGAGATGATTGATAAGACCAACACTCTAACTGAAGATGTGATGATGAACTTTCAAAAAAAATGTACCATAGGTCTCAAAAGAAATTTTCTGAAAGAGATTCTAGCAACAACTGGAGATTCAACAGAGCAATCACCCTCAGAAAGTATATCGGATTCTATGACGCAACACAGTGAACCTGACAATTCAGTGGAGGTATTGAACAAAGCTGATAGCATCTGTGAGGATTACATTGTTTCTTCCATTTCTGCCCCTTCTTGGCTACACAAGTTTATTATTGGTAAAAAAGGTGAGAACGTAGATGAGATATCAAATACTGTGCCAAAAGTTCAAATATATTTTACAACTGAAGATAAAATTATACTGAAAGGACCAACAGATGATGTAAATTATGCTCAAGAAAAATTTGACAATATTGTCCAAGACCTAATTAGCAGAATGGAATGCACTGAGATAAATGGTGACAGTAAATTTCAAAAATACCTGACAAGAAATAATGGGGAGATCCTTAATAGAATTACAGAGAAGAACCGAGTCTCTATCTCAGTATTTCCTGAAGGTACATCGAACCACTCAATCCGAATTGAGGGAGAATCTTTGGGTGTCCACCAGGCCAAAGTAGAACTCCTAGATCTGGCTAATAATTTGGAAGAGGAGCACATCCTAGATATAATCATCAAACACCAATTTCACCACATACTTATTGGACAAAAGGGTGAAAGGGTCAGAGAAATTTGTAGGAAATTCCCTAATGTTATCCTCAATTTTCCACACCCTGCAGATAAAAGTGATGTTATCCAACTGATAGGGCCAAAATATGAGTCAGAAAAATGTGCACAGTATTTGAAGACTATGTTGACAGATATTAAAGAAAATAACTATTCTGTAAGTATTTCCATCATAAAAAGGCTTCACAAAAGGATAATTGGAAAAGGAGGTTCAAACCTTAAAAAAATCTCTGAATCAACCAACACCAATATTAGTTTTCCATCAGAAAACTGTGACTCAGAGGAGTTTGTCATTACTGGATATCCAGAAAATTGTGAAATTGCACGTAACTGGATACTTTCAATTCAGCAAGAGCTAGCTGATACTGCAGAGGAGGAAATTTCCGTTTCCCCTAGTATATACAAATATCTGACTAATCCCAAAGAAGCTTTGGTAAATTCAGTCATAGAAGAATGTGGGAAGATCCAGCTGCATTTCCCAAAACACAAGTCAGGCCTATGTAAAGTCATTATCAATGGCTCTGTTGAAAATGTTGAAAAGGCCAAAGCAAAGCTTCTGAAACTCACAGAAGAAGAGGAAGCCAAGAATTATTCTGGGACTATTCATGTCAAATCACAGTATCATCAATTCCTTGCAAAGAAAATGGGAGCTAATATTTCCAAAATCTGTAAGGAGACTGGGACATGTATAATTTTCCCTAACCTTAAGAAAAATAATGAAAGATCCATAACAATTAAAGGGACTGAAGAGGCTGTTAAAAAAGTGCAAAAACGACTAGAGGTTTTAATTAAAGACTTAGAAAATGAGGTGGAGGACTCCATAAGAATAAACCATAGATTTCACCACTATTTTGTTATGCGGAGGGATCAGCTTTTAAGAGAAATGGCAGAAGAATATGGTGGTGTGGTTATTACATTCTCTTATGCAGGGAAACAGAATACAAAAGTCACAATGAAAGGGGCAAAACCTTGTGTTGAGGCAGCAAAGAAACACATTCAGGAAATTTTTGAACCTTTTGATTCTCAAGTTACAACACAGTATGTGATACCCCAGGAATTCCAACCTTTTATCATGAGTTGGATATCTTCACGAGTTCAGCAAATTTCTAGGGACTTTAAAGTTCAAATAAAACTCCCAGACATAGGGAAGCCAGTCTTAAACATGTATCAAGGTATTCAAGAGAAAGGGAAAGAAAAGTGGGGAAGGTCTACTAGAGAATTTGCTTCTAATATCTCAAGAAAAAATGACACCATATTTATCTCAGGCCAAATGGAAAATTGCAAGGCAGCTACTGAGGCTCTTGCATCTTTAATTCCTGTCACTGCTGAAGTTCATGTGCCCCTTCACCTACAACCTTACATCATTGGACACAAAGGAAGTGGCTTACGTAAGCTGATAAAGGAACTTGAAGTTCATATCCAGATATCACAACCTGGAGGAAATTCCGATGTCATATCTATTATGGGCCTTGAAGCAAATGTGGAACAAGCCAAGATGAGATTACAAAAGAGAGTTAAGGCTTTACAAATGGAAATAGAAGATAAAACACTTAGAAATTTTAAGCTAATGTTCAGTCTAGATCCCAAATATCGTTCCATGATCACCTGTCATAAGGGCTTACTTATTACTCAGATTTGCACAGAGCATAATGTTACTGTCCATTTTCCGAAGAATGGAAGCCATGTGATGCAAGACCAAATCACTATAACTGGCTATAAAGAAAACACTCTGGCTGCTCGAGATGCAATATTGAAACTGTTGCATAAGATTGAAAAAACAGTCTCTAAGGAAATCCCACTAAACTACCAGGTTCGTGGCAATATTATTGGATTCCACGGAAAAAACATCCAAAAAATCATGGATCAATATCAAGTAGATATACATTTACCACCAAAAGGGTCCTATAATCCTAATATCACCTTGACTGGGCTCCCTGATAATGTACAGAAAGCAATTGAGCATATCGTCAATCTTGAGAAGTACTATTTGTCAGCTTTCGTAAGCCATGGATCTCAGCAGGAGCAAACTAAGAGTGTCTCTGTTTGCAATACACCCATGACACCATCCAAGAATTGTGTGAGAAAATGTGTTCGCTGTTATGCTAAAACAACCACAAAGCTCCCAGATATGGATAATTGTGAACACTTTCCAAGATTAAAACAGCGAATATCTTCTAAGACTCATCCTTCAAAACCATAACAATGATGATATAAATAAACAAAGTGTTCCAAACAGTTTATCTGAAAATATTGTCAATTTTAAAATTGCTTTTCTTCTTGAAAATACCATTTGTCAATACTGTAAATACACAATTTCTCAAGTCTTCTTTGATCACTCTAAGCTCTACCCATGCTTGCCTACTCTCTCAAAATCATGACCTATTATTATTGTTGTTGTTATTTTTTCTTTTTAAATATATTTTTATTTATTACAGTTTATTCACTTTGTATCTTAGCTGTAGTCTCACCCTCATCCCCTCCCAATCCTACTCTCCCTCCATCCCTCATCTCCTCCCAAACCCCTTCCCCAGTCCACTGATAGGGGAGGACCTCCTCCCCTTCCCTCTGACCCTAGCCTATCAGGTCTCATCTGTACTGTCTTTCATAGTCTTACTCTGTGGCCTGGGAAGGCTGCTCCCCCCTCAGGGGAAGGTGATCAAAGAGCCAGCCATTTACACATACAGTTGTCCATTTAGTATTGGGGTAATGGTTGAAAGTATAAAACACATTTGTAATAACTTATATCATGAAAACAAAGCCTCTTAGTTTTGTCAGTTAAAAGTCTATTACCAGGATAATAACACAGTAGAGTAGGAGGGCATTGATTGCTTCCATAAATAGGTATAACAAATAAATATCTGTTTATAGATCAATTCCTTATGAGAGACTGTTAGTCAACTGGTAACACTCCAGCTCAGTGAATAAATAATTAAGCAGCCATATCATGAGTGTAAGTGGAGGCACACTAGGCTTAGAGCGTACCACAATCACATTACCATAAAGTCCTCAGAGGTATCCACAGAACCTGTCTACCTATAGTTGACAAACTCAAAAACCCTAGTTTAGTCCAAATTCAGCAGCTCAGCAAGAAGAGGGAATGTAACATATAGGTATCTCTCTACCCCAGAGTTTTAAAAGTAGGAAGATTTTTACATAGCCACACAAACAACTCCTACAAGAACTGGGGGGGAAAAAAAGCAAACACATTCTTAGAAAGAAAAAACAAAACAAAACCTTATAAATTCCTTCTTGGACAAGAAAGCTGAAACTAATTACTCTTCAGAATGAGCTTAATTAGAAGAGAAAACCTTGAGTCCATGGGGGTGTATGTAGGGCATAGTCAGACTTTAAAGTGTTAGAACAGTTAGGATTGTTCAATCATCATAACAGTGGAAAGGAAGGAAAGAGACAGAGAGAGATAGAGGGAGAAAAAATCTTTCTTTAAAAACTATGGAAATGTTTCATTAGGAGAGATACTGGAAAGTGGGAGACTAGGAGAAATAGAAACAGTAATAGGATGGGGTAGAAATAAAGGAGATTGTAATCAAAGAGAACCCCACTGAAAAATGGAAATTCCTAACATTTGTAAATTTTTTTCCCTGTGGTAAAGGAAGTTTTACAATATGTGATTTAGTCCAATTAGAATATAGGACAATAAGCATGTCATAAGCAAGTAAGGGATATAGCCATAAACTTATCTCGCAGTTGTAAGAGGTGGATGCGCTTGCTATACCTCCTGACCCCATTCACAATAAACTTAGATCTGTGTCCTCCAATCTTCACCCAGGGCTGTTAATTGTCAGGATCAGTTGTAAGAAATGGTTTGGTTTAAAAAAAAAAAAAAAAGGAAAGTAGTCCATAAGCAGAAATGTATAGGTTTCTATTTTATCCTGACAAAGGATAAAATCCCTGATAAAAATTAGATGGAAGCCAAGATTCCATGTAGCTACTGAGCCAATGTGGTAAAATATTCACCAACCTGCCACAACTTCAGGTTTCCACATTCCTCCTGAGTAACGGGTACAAAGTGAGTCTTCCAACTTTCAAACTTCCACCCATGGGGCTTCAACCCAATCATCTGGGCTTTAGAAACTGAGGGGTCCATGTAGGTACAAACCCTACAAATCCCACAGCAAAGAGAGAGTTTTAAATTACTATATAAGTAAATGAAGAGACAAATGCCTATCAGAGTGCAATGTGGTGATAGGATTAAAGAAAGAAAAGCTTCTAAGGGTGACAGGTGATCAGAGATAGGAAGAACTAAGCACATTACTCTTAGTGGTGCCAAGGGAGATCCCAGTTGCAATGAAATCTGCCTTTGTTTCAAAATCAAGTGGAGAGGGGATGTGAAAATCAAACACACACACAAACACACAAAACAAAACAAAAACACTATACATCAAGGTATTAATTCAAACCTTTGAAAGTCTATAGCCAATTTGAATCCAGCTTTTACTATTTACTGATATATTCTTTCGCAAAACCATTTTTGTTTCTTTAAATTATGCTTTCCCCATCATAAAATGGAAATGACAATACTTCCAATAAGATTACTGGAATTTAAAAACTGTCTCAAGGTCTCCATGAAGTAAACTGTTATGTCATATATGAGAGAGGTTGGGAGAGTAGACATTTATGCTGATAATTAAGTGAATCTTTTATTAAAAAAGAAGGGAAGAAAGCAAGTTTTTCTTTTCTAAACTATTATATAACTCAGACTGGAGGGGTAAAACCTCAAGTTTAGAGAAAGAGAGAGAGAGAGAGAGCTGCAGAGACAGAAACAGAGGCAATCATTCTGTTTCTGTTCAGAAAGTTTTGACATTTTTTTGCAGTGGCTCTTTGGTGGCCTGGAGTCTAACCTCCTTGCATATGGAAATTAAGGGAGCAAACACAAAGTAGTCCTCTAGCAGCCTGAACAGAAGCTTGCCGCTTTTGGAGCTTTCACAAAAGCACAGACAGCAATAACTTCAGGTCTACCCAGAAGAAACTTTTATACACATTGAATACCTCAATTTCTCAGTTTCCAGCTATGAAATTCATGACTGAATTTCAATTTTTATTAGTTTTGGACATTGCAGGTGCTGTGCAAATGTGTGTCTTTCTAGACCACAGAAGAAATAGTTGAGTTTCAAAGAGCTTCCAAATGCATTTCTCATTTTCTTCTCAAAGGATTTTTAATTCTGCCTTCTAGTCCTTATTCTACAGCCTTGCTTTTAGTTGGGGTCAGCACACAAAAAAATACAAACCTGCAACTCCATCTGTACAGGCTAGTCATACTCAATGTGTGCTGGGATGAGAATTTTCAGTGATGTGGCTACTTTCAGGTCACTTCTATAACTACGCACCTATTCTCTATAAATAATTCTAGTAAACCAATTGATTCAAGGTAGACTGAGGTGGACTTGATTGTTTTTTATCAAATAAACAAAAACTTAGAAATATCTGTGAAAAGAGAATCTTAACTGAGAGAATGCCTCCATAAGATTGGCCTATAGGCATGTTTGTGGAATATTGTCTTGATTAATGATTTATTTGGGAGGTCCAAGCCCATTGTGAGTGGTGCTATCCCTGGGCTGGAAGTCCTGAGTTGAATAAGAAAGAAGATTGAACAAGCTATGAGGAGTAAGCCACTGTTTCTCCATGGCTTTTGTTTCAGTCCTTGCCTCCAAGTTCCTGCCTTAAGTTCCTTCACTGACTTCACTTCATGATAATATGTAACCTTTATGTCAAATAAACCCTTTCCTCATTAAATTGCTTTTGGCCATGGTGGGTTATTTTGTTGTTATTGATGTTATTGTTTTGTTTTTGTTGTTCACAGAAATAGAAATCTTAACTATTACAGAGAAATCATACTTTTGTCTGTCATTATAACCCTATATAGGGTTAATAGATATTTGTTTATATTTCTCCAGGTAAAGTTCACTCAAAAGTGGCTCTTGTCTCATATATCTTTATTGATAAAACTAAGGGTTTTTTGGTCTAAATCAAATTTTGTTCATGTCCCTGTTGACATATTTTTCTTAGATTATTTAGCAGTAGTGCATCAGTGAGAGAAATATTTCTCTTCGTCTATGTCTCTCTATATATAGATAGATAGGTTGATACAAATAATATAGATACATAGATACATAGATTTCTGTCAGATAACTAGTCCTTGCTATATTCATCAAAAGAATTTCAACATGATTCAGAGTATAATGTAGAATATAAGCATTTTTTAGACCAAGAAATACACACATACAAAATGAAAGTGGACAAAGGCGAAGGGACCATTGCACAACCAAACACTCTCAAGGGTTGAGTGTCAATAACTGC